ATTCTATAGGAGGTGGGCATGGTGGAGTTTATTGGCATGTTGAAGGTTAAAGTGATCAAAGGCTCGAATCTAGCTATTCGAGATATGCTATCAAGTGATCCATATGTTGTTTTGAGCCTCGGGCAGCAGGTTCGGTTTGTACCCTCTTTTATACTTTTTTTCTTCCCAAGACAACGAAAGAAAATGGCATGTTTTTAACGTTTTTAGTGGCCAAGTTCACGATTTTTCCCAAGTTCAGAAGTAAAAACTAAAATGATAGGAAATGATCTGATTCTCATTCGCCAACGTGTTTTTTTTATTATTATTATTGTTATTGTTATTAATATCTGGTGCTGGTTTGCCGTGTTCCATAGAAAGTTCAAACATCTGTGGTGAGAAGCAATCTGAATCCTGTCTGGAATGAGGAACTTATGCTCTCTGTTCCAGAAAAATATGGCCCGATAAAACTGGTAATGCCCTGTTTTTGGCTTTCGCGGGCTCTTAAATTTGTTTTGTTTTTCTTTTTTTTTTTCGTTTTCTCTTATTATAAACTACAGTAAGTTATACGATTAGTCGATTACGACACGTTCTCTGCCTTACGACATAATCAGTTTTGGCTTTCGCGGGCTCTTAAATTTGTTTTGTTTTATTCGTTTTCTCTTACTATAAAGGAAAAAATGCATTTTTAGTCCGTTGGTTTGACGGCGTAGCAATTTTAGTCCCAAAGTTCCAACTTTTCGCTTTTTTTGGTCTTGTGATTTAATATTTTGCTGCAATTTCATTCATATGATAACTGAAATTGCAACAAAATTTTAAATTACAGGACCTATATTGCTAATCGAAAATTTGGGAATTTGGGACTTTGTTGCAATATCAGTCCTTTGAAATTGTAGCAAAATATTAAAATCACATGACCAAAAAGCTAAATATAGGAACTTTTGGACCAAAATTGCTACTGCGTTAAACCAACATGGACTACAAAATCCAATTTTGCCTACTATATAAACTACAACAAGCTTACGATTACGACACGACGTTCTCTGCTGATGACATAATCGTTTTGTGGCTTTCGCGGGCTCTTAAATTTATTTCATTTTTTTTTTCTTACTATAAATTACAGCAAGTTTACGATTACGACACGTTCTCTGCTGACGACATAATGGGGGAAGCCGAGATAGATATTCAGTCGATGATTACATCAGCAACGGCCTTTGGTGATGCCAGCATGTTTGGGAACATGCAGATCGGGAAATGGCTAAAGTCAACAGATAATGCGCTGATCGAGGACAGCACGGTCAACATAGTCGATGGGAAAGTCAAACAAGCCGTGTCGTTAAAACTCCAGAATGTCGAATCGGGAGAAATAGATCTCGAGCTAGAGTGGATTCCTCTTGGTCAATGATACTAGTGTGTTGTGCATTATTATGTATAGCTTCTTGAAAATCAAATTGATTGTTAATGATAATATGTATTTTTCTTTTTTTCCTTAAGAAGGTGACCACAATTGCTAGTATAGAGATAAGGGTTAAAACTTTATTAAATATTTGAAGTCTAATGTTATTTGTAAGGCAAATGGGTTATATTATATATCTTATTTAGTAAGCTTACAAGTTTAATTTGGTAGAATGACAAGTAGCGTTTTAATAAAATAAAGTTCATTTCATAAGATTCTTTGTATTTTTTTTTTGAAACAATAGAAATTTTATAAAATAAAAGGCACAACTGTGCGAATATACAGCAGCCAACGACTGAAAACCCAGTAGCCAACAGCTGAAAAAGAGGAAGGGACTGGTCAAAAGACCGCCTAAAGCCGACTCCAAAAGGGTAATAAAGAAAAACACAAAAAACTACTAACGACACATAAAACCCCAACTGGGTAATACAACACATAACAACCTCAACAGGGTAATACCCGAGTGTAGATCCCAACAGGATAATAAAGGCACGCTCGGGTTCACTGAGGCCAACGGCCCAGACCAAAAACACAATTAAACGACAAACGAACTAGAAAACAACAACATACCAAAAAGACACAAACTAAACACCAAAAAACACAGAAAAAAATCGAGCCCTTCCTAAGCTGCAACAGCTAACCGAACCAGCGGACACAAGCCAACCACGAATAAATTTAAAAAAAAAATGCTATTTCATATAACTTATCAACTAATTATCCGAGTATTGTTATATCAATTAGCTTTTTTATTATTATATCAATGAGATGAGATTTTCAGCATTCATAATCACGTCATTTACGCTGGAAATTCACTTAAAAATTACCAGCTAGATAGATTTAGGCAACATAACCATAATTCCATATAATTTAACAATTAATTGTACACTAAACAACAGCAGGGCCACCAAAATTGAACACCTCCCCGTTACAGTTAACTAATTAATTAATAACCCAACCACTAACCACTATTCCCCGCTGCTGACGTGGACGTATCTCCGGCCGCCTTC